TCAGCGATCACAGCTCCTGTCGGCCACGGATTGCCGTTCCTGGCCAATGGGAGCTGCGGGAAGCTGTGTCCCGATCCATGCTGCTTCCCATCACTCCCATTGGCTGAGAATGGTGATCTGCTGCCAATGGGAGCGATGATTGCCGGTACCCGTGGAAGTGTAAGTAAATATAGCAGCAGCAGCCCACTAGGGCTACGTCTAAACTGGAAGCCTCTTTCGAAAGAGGCTTTTTCGAAAGTATCTTTCGAAAAAGCCTCTTTCGAAAAAGAGCATCTAGACTGCAACCAGTACTTTCGAAAAAGCAAGCCGCTTTTTCGAAAGACAGCACCCAGGCAGTCTGGATGCTCTCTTTCGAAAATGCCCTGTTTGCATTCAAGAATGCCTTTTTTCGAAAGAGCACTTTCGAAAAAAGGCGTTCTTCCTCGTGAAATGAGATTTACCGCCGTCGAAAGAAAAGACGTGTTCTTTCGATTTAATTTCGAAAGAACGCGGCTGTAGTCTAGACGCAAGTGAAGTTTTTTCGAAAAAAGGCTACTTTTTTCGAAAAAACCCTTGAGTCTGGACACAGCCTAGGAGCTAGCACTGGAGAACTGCTGACATGTTATTGCCTACCCTTGATTTACAGCATTTAGTGTTCCCTCAACAATACTTATGATCTGATCCACAGCTCACCAAAATCAGTGGGGAAGCTGCCATCGACTTCCCTGCACTTTGAATCAGTGCTATATGGTGCATGAACCTCTACTCCCAGACATCTTTGTAGCTCATTTGACTCCCAGTCTGTAAGTGAGAAGCACCTCAGGCATCCAAGTGCTCCATAAATTTTCTGGAAATGCTTTTAACAGAAAAGTTTTCCGTTAAAAGCATTTTCAGAAAAGTGCATCTAGATTGGTAGGACGCTTTTCCGCAAAAGCACTTTTTGCAGAAAAGCGTCCGTGGCCAATCTAGACGCGCTTTTCCGCAAAAAAGCCCCGATCGCCATTTTCGCGATTGGGGCTTTTTTGCGGTAAACAAATCTCTGCTGTCTACACTGGCTCTTTTGCGCAAAAGTTTTTCGGAAAAAGACTTTTGCCTGAACGGGAGCAGCATAGTATTTCCGCAAAAGCACTGACAATCTTACATGAGATCGTCAGTGCTTTTGCGGAAATTCAAGCAGCCAGTGTAGACAGCTGGCAAGTTTTTCCGCAAAAGCAGATGATTTTGTGGAAAAACTTGCCAGTCTAGACACAGCCTAACAGATTAATCGTCCCAGTACTACATGTGCTATGATTTCCCATCTATGGAATGGGAACAAAGCAAGATGTCAAGAGGTGAAATTAATTGCTCAAGCCATAGTGAAGCCGCAATAGATTCAAGATGAGAGATAATGAGTAGGGCCCTCCCTAATTTAAGGTACATTTTGGTCAATTTCATGGTCACAGGATTTTAAAAATCATACATTTCATTATTTCAGTTATTTAAATCTGAAAGCTCACAGTGTTGTAATTGTAGGGGTCCGGACCCAAAGAGGAGTAGTGTGGGGGTCACAATGTTATTGTAGGGTACAGAAGAGCAATGCAACCCTTATTTCTATGCTGCTACTGGTGGTGGTGCTGCCTTCCGAGCTGGGCAGCTGTAGAGCAGCGACTGCTGGCAGAGAGCCCAGCTCTGAAGGCAAAGTAGTTGCTAACAGCAGCATAAATGAATGGATGATATTGCCTCCCTCACTTCTGCTCTGCTGCCTACACAGCTGAGCCCTCAGCAGCCACCCTACTCTGAAGTAAAGGTGGCAATATCACAGCTCCCCCTAAAATAACCTTGGCCGTGTCCACACTCAGGGGTTCTTTCGAAAAAAGTACCCTTTTTTCGAAAGAACTTCCCCTGCATCCAGACTCAAGCCGCGTTCTTTCGAAATTATTTTGAAAGAACGCGGCTTTTCTTTCGATGGCGGTAAACCTCGTTTCACGAGGAAGAACGCCTTCCTTTGAAAGTTCCTCTTTCGAAGGAAGGCGTTCTTCAATGTAAAGAGGCCGTCTTCGAAAGAGAGCATCCAGACTCGCTGGGTGCTCTCTTTCGAAAAAGCGGATTTCCTCTATCGAAAGATCCGCCTGCAGTCTAGACGCGATCTTTTGAAAGAGGCTCTTTCGAAAGATGCTTTCGAAAGAGCCTCTTTCGAAAGAAGCCTGCAGTCTAGACACAGCCTTCGTGACCTCCCTGCAACTTCATTTTGGGTCAGGACCCCCAATTTGAGAACTGCTGGTCTCCTTTTTGAAATCTGTATAGTATGGGGTAAAAGCACACAAAAGACCAGATTTCGCAGGGGTGGGGGAGAGGGCAGATTTCACATTCTATAATGTGTTTTTCCTAGTCATGAATTTGGTGGAGAAAGCACCCGTTCCAAGCAGACGTCTTGTTTTTCATAATCTTAATTTTGGTTTAAAAAACAAGTCTCTAGCTGTTATGGGTTGTGAAGAAAACCTTGACAATGTGAAGTGAGGGTAGCCCATGCAACCATATCGGTCATACTCAGCCTGAATAAAAACCACAACTCTGAGAGTTGTCAACTACTGTATTCATTTCAGTGGGGTTCTGACTCAGAAGCCAAGAACATGGCAGCATTGGTAACTATGGAAGGAAGCACCACACGGTGAAGGTTATACAAGGTGCTATGAATGACCCTTCATTTGGGCAACAGAAGTCGGAGGGCTTGGGAAATGCTGCTGATTTGCTTCCCCCATTTAAGGAGGAATTAAACAAAAGGAGCCTAGCAAGGGCATCTGAACCCCACGGATGGCAAATCAAGCCCGAAGAAGCCCACAGCACACACAAATGGAGTATCTGAGAGAGGAGCGGACTTTGTGGACAGAGACTGGAATATTACCACTACCTCTGTCCTTCCAGTTTGACCTCTGGAATTCAGAGGGTTCTGGTGCCATGTCCCAAAACACCCTCCCCGCCCTTTGTAAGCACCATTTCCAATGACACAGATATCAGCCACGCGCTTCATGGATCACAGCTGAATCACACACGAGGCTTAATACTCAGAAAGCACTTGGATATCATTTGTGACAAGGTGCTATATACATGCAAATGAGGAGTATTCACATGCTCTTTCATTACAAGGAAAACACCATTTTTTCCTCTAGTTCAGAATTACACTCTTGTGTCTAAAATATAACTGAACGTACATAAAAACAATCCCTTTTTGTTAATTAATATTGTACTAAACAACAACAAAGACGGGCACTGTTATTTGCTCCTTGGAAGCTGCAATTTTCTTCTCAGGTGGCAAGAGAAATTAGGATAGAAAGAAACTAATTAGTACTGAAAGTCAAAGAGACCTACAGTGACCCTGGATTGAAAACACTGGTATTAATGCAAGTACCACACGAGCGTTAGATATGTGTTGCTGTTCATCATGTCTCCTTCATGTGCTGATATGCAGTATGTCCCAAACCGTGCCCTCTGAGTGCTTTTCTGGCCCTGCCCATTCTGTCCATTCCAATACCTGGATTACTTGTCTGCATAATCAGTTTGCAACAGGCTGTGATCATGTCTGAGTGCTGTCAAACTGCCTCTTTTTGCCACTGTCCTGGCATGGGCTCCTGGCTGCTGTTGGTGCCCTTGCCTGCTTCCCTTTGAGGAGGGGTTATGTGCCAAACATGCTGCCCTTTTTTGACCAACGAGCTTTTTGGCAAATCTCAGATGAAATACACCCCAGTGCCAAGAAATAGCACAAGCCTATGCATAACCAAGGGCTATTTAATTCCTCAAAATAGGGCTAAGGAGGGGCATGAGTAACATGTAGACTTTCTGCTGATCTTCCACACAGCTGCGAATGCTACCCATTGGGAGGATTAGAACTAATATCTGTTGGTTTCCTCCGGTCTCCCAAGAAAACGTACAGTGCATGGAATGTATTCTTCATGCTGAGTGACACAAGTGCAAAAGTGTCAAGTGGCAGCATACCCTACTGGGGCTTGTCTGCAATATGCTGGTTTCAAAACAATTAGGGATCTGTTGGTTTTACGTCTGTCAGCTTGTTCCTTTATTTTTGTGTTTCGCCAATCCTAGAGAAAGTCAGGGTAACTGGAGCATGTGATTTCAGACAGGTGAAATGCTACTAGCAACCTCTCCTGTGTGTGACTGAAACATTCATTATTGTAATGGGCCCAAACATTTTTAGTAGATTATTTTGAATCCAAGTTCAAAGCATCACTCAGAAACCGAAAATACGATCTGGGAGAAGGTCTCCTCAAGGGATGTCTGTGAGGAATATTCAGCTGTGATTAACTTGATGGCATCTTCACAGTACGCAAAGGTTATCTATCAGCAGAAAAAATAAATGACCCTAAGACATCAAATTCAGTCAAGCCAGTTTCTGGGTCACATGGCATATCACTAAATTTAACTTCTTATTTGTTCATCCCTCATTAAACAATCGTCTTTCATTATGACACCTATTTCCTACTTCTGTTAGCATTCTACACATTTCTACTAGTACCATAAACTATCCTTGGTTAGTTAAGCACTTTGAGATCTTCGGGTGACAAGCCCAGCATGTTACACCTAACACAGCCTTTTACCAGAGTCTTTAGAGGGAGATTTTCAAAGGCACAAAAGAGAGTTCATGTGTAACTCCCATTCACTTTTGTGCCCTTGAAAATCTCCCTCTTGGCACAATGCATTCATCTGGCTGCATCTGATATCTGATTTGTCCTTCACCTTCCTCTGAACACTCTCCTATTTAGATACAAAACATATTTCACTTTAAAATACAGGCGTTCTGTTCTGAAAATGAACCCCTGAGCTGTTTGGAGTGGATCTGTGTTTTCAAAATCCAGGAGGCTTCGGCAGGTCACCAGGAGTCTAAATTTTGTGTAAAGGTTTGAATGAATGGGTCAGAAAGTGCCCCAGAAAACATGATATGTTACCAGCTGCAAGAGCCCCAGACACAACAGTAGAGCAGTAGCAATCAGACTTTCTCCAAACAGACTGGCAGACTATGATTTCTCATTTACCTGCAGTGAGTGTAGAAGCTTTTCTATCATCCCAGATCCCTTCTCTTTCTGCTTCTCCTCCACTGTCAGTCTCCTGTTCCTTAAGCGCTTCAAAGCACCAGGTTTCCCCTCCCTTCACCCCCCTCCTATACGTGTCAAGCCAGATCCAGCCTCTGACTCTGCATCACGGTTATTTGCAACCAATGCACTGTTCCAGCTTCCCCCGATGTCAAATTTCAGTCCGCCCACAAAACACTCCCTTTGCCTTGGTAGTTGTATCAGTAGCTGGAGTGCCCTCCCGCACTGAAATCCTGCCTACGAGGTCAGTGAGGGATAAACGGTGGAATCATGCGGACCTGCTCCGGTAGAAGTCAAAGCGTTTATTAGCTAAAGGATCAGGCTTATGCTGTTCATGAGCTGCTAATACTTCACTCCCTTTTCAGCCGGCTCTGTAATATATGGCCTATTTTTTCAGGAGCGTTTCTTCTCCCTTATGCGGCAACAGCTGCTGGTTTTGCTAGCCTGGCAGCTGGAACCTCTGCTTCACTCATGATGAGCATCTTGCCACCGTTTGAGCTGCTTTTAGTAGCATTTCTCATATCAAACCGGAGTTCCCCTTGAAAGGGAGGTTTGACTCCCTGGCGAAGGGGGAACAAAACTCAAAATCAGTTCAGCCTTTTAAAACTGTTTAAGGCAAGACACAAAGTTTTATTTTGATATTTATTTAGGGCTTGACCTCGTGTGCAAGCAGTCCCTTTCACTTCTTTGGGAATACTTGGGTGAGTCAAGTTTTCTGTGCAGATAAGTGATTGCAGAGGCAAGGTCTTAGCTTAAAAGCTGTCTGGGGCAGAGAGGGTCTTTTAATGTGTGTGTAACCCTTCTGCCAGGAGGAATCCGCAGCAACAAGGGCTGGGTTCAATATCTAAGGCAGGGGTCTCAAACTCCAGGCCTGCAGGCCATCCCCACCTGGAGCAATTGTGCAATCCGGCCTGGGAGTTACAGCAGGCCTGGGTTGGTGGGGGGGGCGGAGGCTGACTGTTACTATTTCCGAAGCCCTATCCCTTCCCACCACCACCCTGCCCTCTCCCCTAATGCATCCTGTCCCCCGAGAGATATGGCTTCAGGGGATTACTGGGAGGTCCTAGCTTCTGCTGCGGTTCCCCCTCACCCCCCCGGTAATCACAGGGTCCCATAGGTGGAGGGGGCGGGGTGGTGGCAGGAAGAGGCGGGGTGAACGGTAACAGACAGACAGCCCACCGGCCTGCCGGGACTCGTGGGCTGGATTGCGCAACTGTTCCGACAGGGCCAGGAGTTTGAGACCCCTGATTTAAGGGTTTCTCTTAACAAGAGAGGACTCAACCAACTCGAGCAACCACCCAGTAAATTGCAGGGCAGGGCTCAAAGGCAATACTTCCCCAGTCACAAGCACAGACTCTGCGTCTCACAAGGGAAACGTTTTAATAAAAAGAGGAAAGGAATCCAGAATTCAGTTGGGAAAACAGCTTGGCTATGACTGAAAAGCATAGGCGCGTGCGCAAACACCCGCCCCAGAGTACCCTGGGCAGTGTCCTTTGCCTGTTTCTCACCTTGCGGTGGGAAAGTCTGACAACCCTCATTGGTTTGACACCTCCTTCCCCTCTTCTTCCATTGCTGTCCTGGCTCCCTGAAGGCCCAGAGGTGAGGGGTGCATTCACATGATTACTCCCTCCCCCGCTACCCTGCTTAGGCAGGGGAGCATCAAGCAATGTTCCAGCTGCTGCACTGCCACTGCAGCCGGCTCACAACTCTGCCGTGGCTGCCCGCTGCTGCTGCCGTTGGTCACTCTGTCACCACAAACCACTGTGCCATTGTTCACGCCGCCGCCACTGCCTGCCACCTGCCCATCGCCCACCCTCCTTTGCTCCCCCGTCTCGCTGTTGTGATGGCACCTTTCAAAGTTCCACCCCTCAGCCCGGCTCCCCGTGATTTCAGTGGGGGACCTCGCAGCCCGCACCGTCTCTTTCTCTGCAATACTACCCCACACCGCGGCCACGCCTCAGCCCCTGGCCCTGAGTCATTCCAGTGCTAGCAAGCACTGAACCAAACTAGGACTCTCCATGGAATCCCATCAGCCCAGTCTATAAACAATGACGAGAGAAGAGCCAAATAGCAGTTTAGGCCAAGGCTGGGGGACCTACAGCCCAGGGGCTGGATCCAGCCCCCAGCTTGCCTGGATCTGGCTCCAGAGGCTCCTGCACCCTTTCCTCCTGGCCAGATTTTACCTCCGAATCCTGTATTTTGGCAGTCCCCTCTCACATTTTTGATCCCATCCCCACAGCCTAAGGAGGCCCACAAAATCTACTAGCTCAGGCCCTCTGAGGCTCTGGTGTGCAAGGGGAATGGGGTGAGTGTCTTTCTGCTTCTCAGTCGGAGGCCCTGTGATTTTTTTTTCGCTTCACACTTTTGTGTGTCCCCCCTCCCCTGACACATTTTTCTATGGGACAGCAGCCCCTGACCCCAAAAAAGTTCCCCACCCCTGTTTTAGACAGAGCCCACATACCCCCCAGTAAAACCACCTGTCCCCACACTGTCTCTCTCTTCAGGATTTGTTATCCCTACCCCCTGCTTAGCGAGTGAGGTACAACTTGGGAACACCCCTGAATGAGGACAAGCTAAGTACAGTTCTTCCACTCTTTGCAACAAAGATAATGCTCCTGCATTGCCCCTGCATTGAAATGTAGTAAGTTTGCTAAAGCTAATGTTAAAAAAGTCTAAAATACACAGGTTAAGGAGAGTGTCTGCACATCTGGGTATAGTGCAGATACAAATAATACAAAGTTTGTTTTAAGTCATAAGATACACGTAGCGCATTAGCAGATGAGCCCAGCGTTGCTCAATTCCTTAACTCTTTTGGAGGGGTTGGGATGCAGGAGTCAGGGCAGCGGGTGGGGAGGGGCTCAGGCCAGGGGATGAGGCTGGGGGGGTGAAGGAGTCCAGGCAGGGATTTGGGATGTATGGGGGGCTCTGAGGGCAAAGTTTGGGAATGCAGGGCAGGAGATGGTGGGGTGCAGGAATTAGGGCAGGGGGTGGGGAGGATAGGAATCAGAGCAGGGAGCTGGAGGTGTGGGGGCGTAGAAGTGAGGGTTTGGGTGTGAGGTGGGGCTCAGGGCAAGTGGCTGAGTGGGGGGGATGCAGGAGTGAGGGTTTGGGTGTGAGGTGGGGCTCAGGGCAAGTGGCTGAGTGGGGGGGTGCAGGAGTGAGGGTTTGGGTGTGCGGTGGGGCTCAGGGCAAGGGGCTGAGTGGGGGAGTGCAGGAGTGAGGGTTTGGGTGTGCGGTGGGGCTCAGGGCAAGGGGCTGAGTGGGGGAGTGCAGGAGTGAGGGTTTGGGTGTGCGGTGGGGCTCAGGGCAAGAGGCTGAGTGGGGGAGTGCAGGAGGGTTTGGGTGTGAGGTGGGGCTCAGGGCAAGGGGCTGAGTGGGGAGGGTGCAGGAGTGAGGGTCCGGGGCAAGGAAGGGCTTGGGGTAGCCCATGAGTGGCTTATGGCAGGAGTTGGGAAGGGAGTTCCAAGCAGGGGGAGGTATCTGGAGGGTTCAAAGGAAGGGGGTGGAGGTGCAGGAGTCAGCAAAGAGGGTTGGTGCTGCAGGACTCGGGGCAGGGGGCCGAGAGGTCAGGCAGGGCTTTCCGGAGCCATCCACGATGGCAAGGGTGGCATTGCTCCGGCAGCAGCTTCTCCTTCTTCATCTGCCACACACACTTCCAGCTGGTTCTGGGGGGAGGGGCTCTAGGAGCCGGCCTGGCCTGCAGGTGACCTCCCACCAGGCATCCTGCTTGCCTGAGGGAGCTGGTGCTCCAGGGGCTGGTCCTGGCCTCTATCTGCCCCCCCTGCCTCAGCCTCTTGCTGGTCTGGGACGGGCCAGGGCTCCACAGGCCAGTAAAAACTCCAGCTGCCGACCTTCCAGACTGCAGCTGCTGGGGAGGAAGGGGTAGGGCTCTATTGGTCAATCCCGGCCTCCAGCTGCCCCCCCCTTCCAGCTGATTTGGTGTGGCGGGGGGCTTCATGGGTCAGCCTTGGCCTCCCCAGCTGTCCCTCCCTGGCATTCTGCTTCTCGCGGTGGGAGGGGATCCATGGGCCAGACCTGGCCTCCAGCTGCCCCTCCCAGATGGTCCAGGAGGGAGGAATGAGGCTCCAGGGACTAGTCCCAGCTTGCAGCTGCCCCCTCTCCCCTCCAGCATTCTGCTTGTCCAAGGGAGAAGCTGGGGCTTTGGGAGCTGGCCCTGGCCTCCACCTGCCCCTCGCCAGCATCCTCCTTGTCCAGGGGAGGGAGCTGGGGCTAATAGGGACTGGCTCTGGAGTTGCCTCCAAGGGGGTGTCTAAGCTATGGTTCCTGGCCCTGGTATCTCTTGGGGAGCTGGTCTGCACTGTCCAGCCCCAGGGGTGGTCCCAGGGGGAAGCTGCAGTGGCAGAGCTGAGGGGCGGTGAAGCTGAGAACTGCCCCTCCTCCATCTGGCAGTGTTTGGGACCAGGATGCTACTTACCTGGTCCAGTAGCTGGCTATGTGGAAGGTCCCATCCCCAACTGGAAGCTTTCATGCTGGTGCATCCACTCCCTTGTGGTCACTCTGTAGAATAGCTTTCTTCTGCGCTCGCTACCCCCAGTGGTCACTGTGCAGTAGAGTCCCTCTGATAAGGTCCCTCCTTTTCCATGTTATGGAAAACAATCCCATTCCAAGCACTTCCCATTTTCCTTGCACAACCAAACCCTGGCCATCCTTTTAAGGGTACAGCTAGACTGCGAGGATCTATCGGAAAAAGATGCACTCCACATTTTGCGTATCTTTTTCCGATACTTTTGTCAGAAGAGGCTTTTCCAAAAAATGGCCCATCTAGACTTAAAGCCTGTGTGGATGCACAATTTTTAATTGTGGACATCCCGGGCTATAAAGTGGATAGCCACAGAGCTCTGCCAGGATCAGCAGCAGCATGTTGGGTCACTACTCACGGGCACCAGCACTCTTGTCTGGGAGCGTGTGAAATGCTTGTACACACTAGTGTGACCAGGGATGGCTCCTGACGCTCATGCTTGCCTCACTGTGGCTACATCTACACTACGAGTTTTCTCGGCCACAAATATGCTAATGAGGGAACCATTTCA